TTACAAGACTGGCCGAACAAAGAAAGTAACAGAACGCCACTAGCCCCCAACCTACAGCCCCCAACTAAAACCTCTCCAGCATCATCAAGGATCTACAACCTATCCTGAAGGACGATCCCTCACTCTCACAGATCTTGGGAGACAGGCCAGTCCTCGCTTACAGACAGCCCCCCAACCTGAAGCAAATACTCACCAGCAACTACACACCACACAACAAAAACACCAACCCAGGAACCAAACCCTGGTGCCAACTCTGTCCACATATCTATTCAAGTGACACCATCATAGGACCCAATCACATCAGCCACACCATCCGGGGCTCGTTCACCTGCACATCTACCAACGTGATATATGCCATCATGTGCCAGCAATGCCCCTCTGCCATGTACATTGGCCAAACCGGACAGTCTCTACGCAAAAGAATAAATGGACACAAATCTGACATCAGGAATCATAAAATTCAAAAACCAGTAGGAGAACACTTCAATCTCTCTGGTGACTCAATAACAGACCTCAAAGTGGCAATTCTTCAACAACAAAAATTCAAAAACAGACTCCAATGTGAAGCTGCAGAACTGGAATTAATTTGCAAACTAGATACCATCAGATTAGGCCTGAATAAAGACTGGGAGTGGTTGGGTCATTACAAAACCTAAACTTAATTTCCCCAATATTAATTTCTCCCTACTGTTACTCACACCTTCTTGTCAACTGTCTGTAATGGGCCACTCTCTTACCACTTCAAAAGTTATTTTTCCTCCCTTGGTATCCTGCTGTTCATTGATTTATCTCATTAGACTGACCTAACACTTGGTAAAGCACCCCCATCCTTTCATGTATTTATACCTGCTCCTGTATTTTTTACTTCATACATCTGATGAAGTGGGTTCTAGCCCATGAAAGCTTATGCCCAAATAAATTTGTTAGTCTCTAAGGTGCCACAAGGGTTCCTCGTTGTTTTTGCTGATACAGACTAACACGGCTACCACTGAAATCCAATCAGACAAATATTTCCAGTGTATTCAGTGGGACTAATGGCATGAATCTACTAGTCAGGGGTATATGTATCTGCAGAAGGGCCATAGAAGATTGGTTTCTGCCCCAAGGAGATTGCAATTTAATATTAATAGTAAATGTACTAATTTAGCACTCAATGTGTGGTATGTGCTGTGTCAGTTGGCTGAAGCCCTATGCCCAGAGATGGCTGTGTTTCAGTGGTTCTGCATATGTGTAATTTGTGATGTATTTTTGGAGCTTTTGGGATGAATACACTTGAAACATAAAATATTCATGATCAATATTAATAATACAGACTGTCATTCTCAATAATAAAAACAATAAATGAGAAATACACTAGATAAAATAGACTGGAAATAGTAGATAAAAAGTATACTGGATTAGACAAAACTAGATTGATTAAAGATAATAGGTGAAATTGATTAGCTATGTTGTAGATCAGTGTTGCCCAAACTTGGGACGCCGCTTGTGTAGGGAAAGCCCCTGGAGGGCCGGGCCGGTTTGTTTGCCTGCTGCGTCCCCAGGTCCGGCCGATTGCAGCTCCCACTGGCTGCGGTTCGCCGCTCCAAGCCAATGGGAGCTGCGGGAAGCAGCGCGGGCTGAGGGACATAATGGCCGCCACTTCCAGCAGCTCCCATTGGCCTGGAGCAGCGAACCGCGGCCAGTCGGAGCCGCGATCGGCCAGACCTGCGGACGCGGCAGGTAAACAAACCGGCCCGGCCCGCCAGGGGCTTCCCCTTCACAAGCGGCGTCCCAAGTTTGGGAAACACTGTTGTAGATAATATCTAGAACTCATTAGATAAGAAATTTAACAGATTACAGGGTGATCTAGCAGCTAGCATGTTGGACTGGGTGTCAGGAGACATAGGTTCTGTTCATGGCTCTGCTACTGTGATTTTGTGCAAGTAACTTTGTGTCTTTATACCATCTGTTATCTGTCTTGTGTAGACTGTAGAACCGTCAGATCAGAGACTGGCCATACTTGGTCTGACCAAAAGTCCATTTAGCCCAGTATCCTGTCTTCAGACAGTGGCCAATGCCAGGTGCTTCAGAGGGAATGAACAGAACAGGTATTTATCAAGTGATCCATCCCCTGTCGCCCATTCCCAGTTTTTAGGGTTGCCAATTCTGGTTGGACGTGTTCCTGGAGGTTTCATCACATGACATCATATTTAATGGAATATTAATCTTTAATTCCTGGAGACTCCAGGACAATGCTGGAGGGCTGGCAACCATACCAGCTTCTGGAAAACAGAGTCTAGAGACACCATCTCTGCACATTCTGGCTAATAGCCATTGATGGACTTTTCCTCCATGAATTTATCTAGTTCTGTTTTGAACTCTGTTATAGTCTTGGCCTTCACAACATCCTCTGGCAAAGAGTTCCACAGATTGACTGCATTGTATGAAGAAATACTTCCTTTTGTTTGTTTTTACCTGCTGCCTATTAATTTCATTTAGTGACCTCTATTTCTTCTGTTATGAGAAGGAGTAAATAACACTTCCTTATTTACTTTCTCAAAACTAGTCATGATTTTATAGACCTCTATCATATCTCCCCTTAGTTGTCTCTTTTCCAAGCTGAAAAGTTCCAGTTTTATTAATGTCTCCTCAGATGGAAGCTATTCCATCCTCTAGTAATTTTTGATGCCCTTTTCTGTACCTTTTCCAATTCCAATATATCTTTTTTGAGATGGGGCGACCACATCTGCGCACAATATTCAAGATGTGAGTGTAGCATGGATTTATGTAGAGGGAACATGATATTTTCTGTCTTATTATCTATCCCGTTCCTAATGATTCCCAACATTCTGTTAACTTTTTTGACTGCCGCTGCATATTTAGTGGATGTTTTCAGAGAACTATCCACAATGGCTCCACAATGGATCTCTATCTTGAGTGGTAACAGCTAATTTAGACCTCATTATTTTATATGTATAGTTGGGATTATGCTTTCCAATGTGCATTACTTTGCATTTATCAACATTGAATTTCATCTGCCATTTTGTTGCCCAGTGGTCACCCAGTTTTGTGAGATTCCTTTGTAACTCTTTGCAGTCTACCTTGGACTTAACTATCTTGAGTAATTTTTTATCATCTACAAATTTTACCACTTCACTGTTTAGTCCTTTTTCCAGATCATTTATGAATATGTTGAATAGTACTGGTCCCAGTAAAGACCCCTGAGGGACACCGCTATTTACTTCTTTCCATTCTGAAAACTGACCATTTATTCTTACCCTTTGTTTCCTATCTTTTAACCAGCTACTGATCCATGAGGGGGACCGTCCCTCTTATCCCATGACAGCTTCCTTTGCTTAATAGCCTTTGGTGAGGGACCTTGTCAAAAGCTTTCTGAAAATCTAAGTACACTATATCCACTGGATCACCCTTGTCCACCTGTTTGCTGACCCCCCTCAAAGAATTCTAGTAGATTGGCGAGGTATGATTTCCCTTTACAAAAACAATGTTTACTCTTCCTCAACAAATCATGTTCATCTATGTGTCTGACAATTCTGTTCTTTATTATGGTTTCATGGCTGGTACTGTAGTTAGGCTTACCAGCCTGTAATTGCCGGGATCTCCTCTGGAAACTTTGGTAAAAATTGACCTCACATTAGCTATCCTCCTGTCATCTGGTACATAAGATGGTTTAAATGATAGGTTATATACCACAGTTAGTAGTTCAGCAATTTCACATTTGAGTTCCTTCAGAACTCTTGGGTGAATACCATCTGGTCCTGGTGACTTATTACTGTTTAGTTTATCAATATTTCCAAAACCTCTTCTAATGACATCTCAATCTGGGACAGTTCCTCAGATTTGCCACCTAAAAAGAATGGCTGAGGTTTGGGAATCTCCCTCACATCCTCAGCCATGAAGACCGATGCAAAGTTTTGTATACAGTGCCTGGCACAATGGGGTCCTGATCTCAAGTGAAGCTTCTAAATCCTACTGTATAGTTAAAATAAGAATAACGGATTGCATTACAGAAATCCTAAAACCCCTATTCTATATGCACCTTGTACCCTTAACATAATTTAAAAATACATCTCAAGTGCAGCAGCACAATTAAAAATAATCCACCACCAGTAAGTATGAAATATGCAAAATGTTGCTAAAAATAGGTAGATTATAAACAACTAGATTGCGTAAGGTAAAATTAAATGGGGGTGATTATATACCAGAGTTATTCGAACTGTAAACGTTCCAATGCTGGGATTGTCTTTTTGTTTATAGATTCAGAGAGTTTAAGACCAGAAAGAACCAAGAGATCATTTGGTCTGACCGCCTGCATATCACAGCCCTTCAATGTCACCCATTTTGGTTGTACAGCACCTGGCACAATAGGCCCCACTTCCTGAATGTGGGTCTCCCAGGTGATTAAAATACAGGGGATGGAATCGGAGTCCTTGTGGCCCCTTAGAGACTAACCGATTTATTTGAGCATAAGCTTTCGTGGGATGGAATGTGAGTCGGGGGCCTAGGTGCTGTAGCTAGGGGTGCTGGGGGTGCGGCCGCACCCCTTGGCTTGAAGTGGTGTCCATCATATCCGGGGTTTACAGTTTGGTTCAATGGCTCTCAGCCCCCCGCTGTACACATTGCTCCAGCCCCCCCGGTAGGGGGGCTGGCAGAAAGGGGCAGATTCTAGGAAATGATTGGAATAGGCAGCGTTAGGGGAGCAGCGGGCGATTACAGGTGAGGGCTATGGACTGGGCCCAACTGCTGCCCCCAGGTGGGCTGTAGCTTCTGCAGCCCCTGGCGCCCCGGGCAGGAACTACAGCTCCCATGAGAACATGGGCGGGGGGCGGGGCTTGGCCCGCAGGCCCCGCCCCCGGCGGCGCCTGGTTGGCTGCGGCCGGGTGAGGTCAGGTTGTCGATGGTGACGGGGGGACGCGGCGGGGCTGCAGCCAGAGCCGGAGCCTCAGTCGGTGTCGGGAGCCGGAGCCGCTGGGGCCATGGGCTGGCGGGCGGGGGCCGCCGCTCTGCGCACCCAGCCTGCCGCGCGCTAGCGAGCCGCCGGGGAAGATGGCGGAGAGGTAGGTGCGGGGACCCCCCTCCCCACGGCACCTGTTCCCCCCCCACCACCCCTCCCCTCCCCATAGCCAGCCGCTCCCCGCTGCCGGGCTGGGGTCTGTGTGCCCCCTCGCAGCCCCCCCCAGCATCCCCTTCTTCTCTCAGACCCCCCCCATCACAGCCCCACCGCGTCCTCCCCCCGCCGGGCTGGGGTCCGTGTGCCCCCTC